CAAATTCCACATTCCCTCACTTCTCTACTTTCTGCCCCTCCTCTCACCATTAATTTTATAATAAACAGAAAGTTGTATCGACGGATGTAAAGTTCAGGTTGAACCATACGAAAGTGGTATTGTAGGTCAAAACTAGTTGAATGTCAGCCATTTCCTGTTGTTCAAACTAATTTTCTTGCTTAATCCTTAGAGCAATCCTGTAAAGTTAGCAGTATTCCCCCATTTTATAGGAAACAGGCACAGAAAGCTCAAGTAACTGCCCAAGGTTTACAGCCAGTTTGCGGCTGCCCTGGGGTGCACACAAGTCTATCTGGTGCCAAATCAGAGCCCCTCCAATACTGTAAGCTGCTTAGCTAAGGAAATCTAACCTCAAGAGGTCACTGCAACTTGTGATGCCTGTGACTTCGAGATCTCCCCGAAGCCTTCACTCCCCTTGTCCTAGGCCAGGTCTCCTGCTCCTTTGCCCAGGGGAGAGGGTGGGAGGTGGGGCCGGGCAGAGAGGTCCAGCCGGCAACTTTCTGTGGATTTTACTTCAAGAGTGAGGGTTGTAAGAGGAGATGCAGCACAACTGTGATTTTTCATTCTGTGGCATTGGTGTGACGGCTGGATTAGAGAAGGGTGGTACCAGAGGCATGGAAGCTGCAGCCTCCCACGTGAGGAACAGTGATGCATAGGTGGTGGGTGTGGGGATGGAGAGGCCAGAGGGTGCAGAGAGGTTCTGAGGAGGGTCAGCCAGGACTGGCTGGCTGACTGGTGTGCTCAGGCCCCAGCGGACCTCTCCAGGGTTTCTATGCTCATTAGCAAGGGGTGTCCCATGAGCAGACACACCTCTAAGCACAGGGGCGAGGGCTGGACCTGCCCAGGTGTTTCCGTGGCCCTGGATGAGGGTGTGAAAGAGATGGAGAAGTCAGGGAAGACACCAGGTGTTCTGGACTACCTACGAGGACTTCTCTCCGTGGCTGTTACACATGCCGAGGAAGAAGAGCATCTCCATTAGCTGCTTCCTGATTCCTTGTCAAAATTAAGTCCTCTGTCTTCTCAGAGATGGTATCACCAGCAAAGTGAAGTATAGATTCTCCAGGGCTCTGTTACTGGCTGAATGGAAGAAGCTTCTAGCGGACCCCTCGCTTCACAGTTTCCATTCCCAGTCTGTCTAACCTCTGAGAGAGTTCTGGGAGATGTTTTAGGAAAACGTCATCCACATATGAACTTACTAGGAACTGTAACAAGGAAACATCAAACGTAGGTCAGAACTATTCATTCTGTCCAAGAGGAGAGCTGAAAATGAGCGTTCAGAAAAAGGGTGGTCAGTTATGTGTGTGTGTTCTAGAAATGGGGCTTATGGGTAAACCAGACCATTCAAGGCTGTTGCAACATTGTTTATAATAGCAAAAGACTGGAAGCAACTCAAATGTCTGCCACTAGAGGACTAGTCACATGAACTTCGGTGCATCCGTGTAATGGAACACTACACAGGGTGAAAAAGAGCAAGAGGCTGTGATACTTTGATATGGGAAAAAAAATTGAAGCTGTATTTAAACAAAGAAAAAGTAGAAGAATTTATATAATGTCAATTTTATATTTTAAAAAGGGGAGAACTAAGAGCATATGTTTGTATTTACATATCTCAAGACACTCTGGACAGAGACAAGAAATCACTAGGATGGGTATTGTGGATGGGGAATAGGGTGGACGGAGGCAGAGCTACAGGCCAACTCTTCACTGCATTTCCTTTTTTAAAATTGTCAAACCCTGCAAACATATTACCTATTTAGAAAGAGTGAAAATAAATAAAAAAGTGCCTTCTGACAGTTGCAGGGGGGCCATCAGGTGAGAATTTGGGGATCAACAGAGGTGAGGCTCAGAACCTCACCCCGCCTGCTTTGAGAGAAATCTTCTGCATCCGTGGATGTCTTGCTGCCCTTGTCTAGCCTGGATTAATACTTAGTCCATAGGCACACACCTGATC